GTTTTCAGTTACAATTTGTTTTGATTAGCGTGTGTTGGAAACAAAAAAAATATTATCATTGGTTGATGTATTATAGTGCTAAATAATCTGTATAATTTATTGACCTGCCTATAATTTTTATCATTTTTTTTATTTACTCCTTGTAACAAGAATATGTCCATTCGTTTTCAAACTGAGTTTTATCGGTATCTAAAAGAATACAGGTCAGAAGACATCTGACGCATTTGATACGTATATTGTATTTAATTAAAAATTTAAAAAAACCGACTTCAAAAACGTGCAGATGCCGTCACCACATCTTAACCAAATTTATATGGGGCCACCCCTGAGGTATCCCCTTACTAACAAAAAAGAATCATATAAATCGGACAAGGTGGTAAAGCATTATCGCTAAACATACATAAAAAAATGAAGAGTTTGAGGATTTTCTCACGGACCCAATTATTATATTTTGACCAAATTTATATGAGACCACCCCTGAAGTACCCCCTTTCTAACAAAAAAAGAATTATTGAAATCGGACACCGTGTTGAAGAATTATCGCTGAAAATACATTAAAAAAAAATATCGCGACGAATTGAGAACCTCCTCCTTTTTTGAAGTCGGTTAAAAACGTTCATAAATATTAAAAAAATAAAATTTAATTCATATTTAATTAACATACAAATTGTCCATTTAGTAATAATCTGAATAATTGTCAGCAGATCACACGCAGATTAAACAAAACTTCATTTTGATTCACGTCAATGATTATTAATATGATTTATTTGTTAGTTATAACCTTCATTAGAACATTGTTGTAAGAAAATGTGTGTAATGAATTATTTTTGGGGTTCCCGTCCTATGTCAATCAGATAATCAGCATGCACTCTCATCACAAGTTATTTTGCTCTCGAGAAAGAGGTATCTCCAAGATATTGAACAGAGGCGTAACACAACAAAGTTTAAGTTAAATAATTATTTTGTCATAAATAAACCAAACAATAACAAAGTATTTATCTGCCTTTATAGTATGAGGATAATGTTGAAAGATGTAGGTAGTAATTAAGAAATTAATAATATTATAGTTGTTTATTGTCAGTTATAATAATATTTATTTGTTTTTATCATACATCATGCCTATAGTTTTTCTCTATTTATTCACAATGTAATAATAAATAAATTGGTCGAAGAAATAAATATAGATAAATATTTTGTTTATTTAATTTTTGATTGGGAAACAGAATAACTATGTCAAACCATCCATTCAACATTCAACGTGTAATAAATAACAAAAGTTAATGCTTATATTTATGAGAAATTTTATACACACGTTAACCGCAGATATAAGTAAATGGTATCGGCTCGTGACCTCTCTATAATATACTTTTATTTCAAGAAAACTAAAATTTTGGAAAATTCTCTAATTAGTTAGTTAAAAAACTATCCAACAAGCATCAACGTAGACTTGTAGAGGACCCTTGTCTGGAAAGGCGAGGGGTAAAAGGATTAAAAAGTAGTAAAAATAAACATTTTAAATTCTGTAAAATTATTTTTATTTGGCCGCTTTTCACTATTTCGCCAATTCAAAGCAATGTAAGTTCAGGTGCAACCAGTGCCGGACTGGGACCAGGGCCGCCGAGAGCCATGGTCGGGTCCAAGGACATTTTATAAATATTCAAGTCCTTTCTATGTTACATTTCTAAAAACAAAAAAAAAGTCCTTACCTTCTATTTTTCGTAAACTCTTTTGTGGCGAACTTTTCTAAAAAAAAGTCCTCAGCTAAAGCTGCCGGCCCCCCCTTGTGCCCTTGCCCCGGGAATTTGTCCCCCCTGTCCCCTCCTCTCGTAGGGCCTGACTGGGACCTGCAGGGCCTACCGCTAAGAAGGGCCCACCGTTTTCCATTGAAGAGCAAAAGGTCCTCTCTCATTGAAGCTCAAAAAAGGTCCTCTCTTGTGTTACGGGGTTCTTCATTTAATATACGAGGGCCCACTTACTGATCGAGGGCCCACTTACTGATCGAGGGCCCACTGTCTGAACGAGGGTCTTTTGACCGGTAAACCGACGCGCGACGGCCCAATCCGACACTGAGTGCAACGTTCTTTATATTGTACCGCCGTTATTAAATAATTTTGTTCTATTATCTCTTGACATTAAAAGTAACATTGCATGTGCATTCTCTTTCACTTGGAGATACCAGTAGTTTACTTTAATTTTTGCAGATATAGACCATTTATTTAATTTAATACCATTATTATCTATTCTTACCATTTTATTGCTTAGATTTTTAGCTATTTTTACTTTCCTATCTGTATACAGATATAAGGAAAGTATAGGAATCATGATTTTTTTCGACCTCGAGTTTTCGACGGATTTTTTGTTTTAGATTATTATATTTTGTCGGATTTTACATAATAAATTATATATCACAGATCGCAAATTCTGATCTAAATAGGAGACACAAAAATATTATCTTTTTGCATGGTTGGAAATTTTAATTTGTAAATAAAATAAATTTCATTTAAAAGCATTTAACTGCAAGTTCAATGGGAGAATTTCAATTCCTTTTTCTTGCGTCATCTCGTCTATAATATATTTTTTGGATGTCTTTTTATGTTGCCTTGTTATTACGAGTAATTCTGCCTTCAAGGATTTAGTTGGACTGATAATATTTTTAGATTGAAGCCATTTTGAAATATGAAGTTGTAGGTAGTGACTCCTTTATTCGACTGTGATAGGATGCATTATCCAAAACAATAACGGAGTTGGCTGGAATTTTTTTTTAATGTTCTGAAACCAATTTTCAAACATAGGGCTATCCATTTTCACTTGAACATTAATAAACAAGAGACCCCTTCTATAAAGGCTTGTTTCTAGTTTTGATGGAGGTATCTTGCCAAATTTTGTTACTATAATATGTCCAGCATTAACCCATGTTTCATCTAAATAAAATACCTATTTATGTTGATTCCTTGCGTCCGCTATTTTCCTTAAATAATTATGTCTCCACGCAATGATTTCATCTTTCTCTGTTAAAAAGCTGTTTCTGTTACGTTTTTTGTAACGAAAATTTAATGAAAATATGATAAATTTGGAAACGTGGGGCTATTTTCTATTTCTGAGTGTAATTTTTTGAGTGTAGGAATTTCATTTCGAAAGAAAAAATAATGTACCATTTTGCCTTATTATTTTCTTTACTCAAGTTTCAATAAAGGTCTTGTTAACTGTACCTTCTTTAATAATGTTATACACTCTCCGCTTAGATACTCCAATTCCAACATAGGTCTCACATTTAGTGGCTATTTCATCCACAGAAAGTGAAACAAAGTCTTTTCGAAGATTATTAAATACATTAAGTAAGATATTTTTTTTAGGCCGATCAGATGTATTAAAATTTTCATTTTAACTACAAATAAGCATTGAAGATAAGGTAGGTATAAATAAAATGTCTACCTCTTGAACCTGTACTACTTTTTGCAAATTAAACTACTGATCTATTTCTTCTCTAAACTAAAACATGTAACCATCTAAGACCTAATAGTGATTGAGTGAGCGAATGGGAAAGCAGTAGGATCTTCAAAAGGTGGCACGATAAGTTGCAAGCTGCAGTGCTGCCACGCTTCAAACGGATACATAATACCATAATAATAAAAACGCGCATGTGTAATCAACCTCTGGGTGGCGCGGAAACAAGTCAATTTACAATAGTCTATAAATAAGTAATTTTTGCAGTGTCCTTTTAATAATGTACCAATTAGTTAATCTTTAAATATATTTATACAGAGCGTTTACAAAATATTAAGTACATATTTTCTCTATCTATTATCCTCGATACGGATCTGTAAATACCCACTATGTATAGAAATGTTAAATTAATGAAAACTTTACATCACATTGTCACATTGTACCTCTGATTTTTACTCTTGTTTTCATCTATAGGACGGACCCACAACCGTCTAAGCCCAGAGTAGACGTTCCAGTGATATTATAGCGCTACCTTTTTACGTTATTCAACGTTAATAGAAGTTCCCAAAAATGATGTCTTTTTAACCAAACCGGGACGAACTGTTAGGTCTGCCAGGGGGTCGATTCTCGACTCGTAGGAATTTTTTCCTATAGGAATTTTTGACATTTTTCTATACATAGAAAATTTATGACATTTCCCTACATATAGGAAAGTGTCACAAATTTCTATAGGAAAATATTCCTACGAGTCGAGAATCGACCCCCAGGTCTGCGATGTACACATTACTGTGCTGACCTGTATGCGATATTATTGTGAGTTATATAAATTAACATCGTATAAATGTTTGTCACAGGAAGTAGGAAAATAAAAAGAAGTACAAAAAATGTTTATGTAACTGCTAATTCAAGTATTTCAGCGTACATGAAACTTCATTTGTAGATATATGCGAGGAATGTTAATGAATATGATGTTAAAATTTAAACAGCTATGGGATATTTTAGTATCTTTTTAAAAATATATCAAGAAAAGTCTCTATGAGAAACGTTACAAAAAAGACTGGTAATGTTTCATGTTTACCTATTTTAATTGGATAAAGAAAAACGATAAAAATATGAATAATTCTAAAATTTATCAATTTTAATTATTAAAATGTCATAAAATTCATAGAAATTGCTCAGATTACTTTTCGGGTCCCCAAAATTCTGATAAACTTTTGACTTCAAATTGTATAACAAAATTTTTTTCGTGTAAACAAAAATACGTTAATTAAATTGTTTGCTCTCTTTCTAAATATCTAAAGCAATGTTTAAAAATTCTTTATTTTAAGGATGCAACAAATTTTTTCCTAATGTGGACTTTGATTTTTTTACTTGTTAAGTGAACAAATCTATTTAAGCGATTAGTAAAATTATATGTCAAGAAATATATAGCCAAAATTGATAGACCACTCTGTACCTTAGAAAGAAAAGGGGTTAGATCCATTAAAAATAGGATTTTCCTGTCTATTAATGGATCTAGTTATTAGTATGTACACTTCGCAATGACAACTTAATTGCATTTTTATGGTGTATACGTATTTAAATTCAGCTACGCTACTGGTAAAGTGGTTTGGTTTGTCTTCGGACATGGGATTTTTCACTTATACAAGTGTATAAATAAGGAAGAGAAGTGGTCAAGTTGCTACTGTTTTTATTCTGCGTTCTTGAATCTCAGTTCAAAGCGAGACAAATTCTAAAATTATAAGATGAACGGTAACGGTGCATCTTTATTCTTTGTTGGTAAGTTTTAATGTTTCTTACGTCATTAACAAACTGTCTATTTTGTTTCTGTTTTTACTAATGTTGCTAAAAAAATTAATGTTTCCTTTATATTGCATTAAAAAAAATTAGAAATACCTAGAAAGGTACTAACCTATAGTTTAGTGTTTTACAAAGTGTAACAACTAGCAATAAGAATTGACTTGAGGGCTGGTGTTTTTTATTTAGGTATCTACATAAAACGAAGAATTACGTTTTAAAATTTCTTAGGTAAATATCTTATAATTTATAATAATAATTTCTGAATAATTTTGTTTTCTAAATCAAAAAATAAAAAAAAAAATAATTATAAAAAATTATATAAAACTACAGATGTTTAAAATATCCATTATGTTCTAAAAATAGAAAAAAGTTGTCTTTAATTATTAAAACCTCGATTGAACCCATTTATACCGGGTGTCCCATTAAATCGTAAATATTCAATATTTCAATTTGTGTCATAGACACGCAAACAAGCTATATGGATTTAAAAAATACATATTTTAAAAATATTTTTGGATATACAGGGAGTTGCGTTTTTGCCTGGCAAATAAAAAAGTACATTTTTTTAAAATAAACACCTTGTATTTTATATCAGTTTTAGAATGATTTGGTAATTCTTTATTCAACCCTAGAATATTTTTTTTAATAATTACATGGTTGCCAAGCAATTAATTTTTTTTATGAAATTAGAGAATAATGCAGCCTCCAAATTAAATTATCATAATTCAGGTAGGTTTAAAATGATTTAAAAATTGTTTAAAATACAGACGAATAGTGGTGATAGAACTGGAATATTTTATACAGAGTGTTTTGAATATTGCTAATTTTAAGTTCAATTTATTCAATTTCTTCGAATGCAACACCCTGTATATTTTTTATCATAAAATCCTTTATAATTTACCTATTCAACGATACCAACTTTTTAGCCATTAACACATATACAGGGTGTCCCATACGTAATTGATTGATAGCTGTTTTATTAGAAATACGAAGACATTTTTAATATAAAAGTTGTATGACCATATTTAACAATATTATTCTTAAATATACAGGGTGGTCCATAAACGAGGTGCTGTCAAAAGCTATACATCTTTAAAGCAAAACACCCTGCAGGTAGTTATACATATTTGATTGTTTTCACATCGTCAAACAATTTTAATAGACTTCATTCATTTGCTATGTTGCATATAGGGTGTGTCAAAATGCGAGGTTAAGATTTTCTCAATTTTTTCAATGAAATACTGTAGGAAAATGGATTTGTTCCAGTAGAAGATCCCAAAGAATTGTTAGATTCTTAACTTTTATAAATTATACAAGTTGACAATGTCAAATAAATTTATTTTACTAATCAATAATTAGGGTTTAGCCTTTAGAAACCAGCTGACTAACTGACAAAAGATCCGAAGCTAGGTTTGGAACATATGTGACATCGGCGATCATTGTAATATTTAACTATAAATGAACTGGAAAATCACCAATTCCTTCACGGTAAAGAGTTTGTTAGCAACACATACTTTCAAGCCATTATTTGTCTCGTTCGTAAAGTTAATGAGCCAATCTTTTCGATAAGTCATGTGACTCGAAGCTCCTGAATTTAGGATTATTGTTCTGTTTTTTGTCTTTATTTTTATTGACGGTACTGTGTTCGTTATACCACCAATTAATTCTAGGATTGAATATTTATATAATAATACGAAACCATTCTAAAAATGAAATAAAATACCAGGTGTTCTTTTTAAAATATGTATTTTTCAAATCCATATAACTTTTATTTAAAACTTGTGTGTCTATAATACAAATTGAAAATTTTTACAATTACGCACTAATGGGACACATTGTATATTAGCAGCATCATTGATTAACAATCATTATTTTTTCATTATTTGAATCTTATCTATTAAAATTATCCATGAATTCCCATTAATTGTTTTTGTTTGGTTGTGTTTTGGTTTTAAAAATAATATTTTGATTACTTTAATTTAGAATGCAATATTTTGCACTAAAAAAATATTTATTTATAAATCAAATTTTTACCGCAATTTGTAATAAATGGAAAATACCAGGGCTGGTTTAAGAGAAATCACCGAATTAGTTCCTAAAATACATTACTTTTTCCAGTTTAATTAACTACCTTTATAAATAAGAAGTAATAATTTAAATACTTATAATCGCAAAGTTCTTAGATCTTTGTTATTAGAGCCCAAATATTTTTGTTTTATTATTATTTAACAAAATTTGATCATTGAATTTTCGAGCATTGAACAAACAAAATGACATTCAAGAAACCTCAAAAATTATCATATTATGTATTTTTGTTATTCAATTATTATTTAAATAAATTTATTATTTTACTTTACATATTAAAACTTGTATATTTAGTTATTCAAGACAGTTTATATTTTTCTTCGTCGTAAATACACAAAATGACCTTCACTGTACTTAATTGTTAATTATAATTTTATGGACTTATTCTATTACAAATTGCTTTAAATGGTTGAGTATTTAGATAAGTAAATATTTGACACTACATTTTATTTGGGACAGAAAAACACTTATTAGCTGCGTATTGAAATAAGTATCTAGACCTACTCCAAGATGCACAAGACCATAAATAATAATTTTAAGAATTTGAATTTTGTAACAGGTATTAAATACCTAATATTTTAGTCACAAAATTTCCTAAAACACTTTTTATACAGCATGTACAAAAAGTAAGATAACGCAAAAGTATATTTTTGAAATAATACAGTAATAAATTTAAAATACACCTGTTAAAACAGCATAATTTTAATCTTATTAGAAAAAAAATATATGCATGAAAAAAATATATTCGTTCGTTTTTTTCGAGTACTGGTGCACCCGTTACATTTTCAATTGACCTCTACTGATAACTTGATTTATATCAAAAAACTTATATATAATATAATATTTTTAAATCTCCCCGGGCTCTGTCCTACGCAATTTATTTGTTTTTTTTTTATTTATTGCGAGTATAATTTAATACAAACCAAAAAAATATATTTTGAACGTATTTTTTTATCTACTAAAAATTTTAGTATACTCTACAGCTATAAAGCTATTAGCTTAAAATTTAACATAGATGAAGATAAACCATTTACTATAAATATTTAATAAATCCGATTACAATAAGAAAAACACAGCTACATCATCATTTGACCAAGTTAACCGTCATCTGATAACGAAATGAAATATACCCCAAAAGCATGTAAAAATATTGTACTTTACCAAATGGAACCTTTGCCAATCCCAATCCTGAACAAAGTGGTTAAAAAAATTATTTTATATTAAAAAAATCACAAGTCATGACAGCGCTAATTTTGTTTGCTCTTAAAGTTTTCCAGAAAATAACATATTGAAATATATCTTGATATATATCGTTAAAGACAAAAACATCTATCCACGATTAGTAGGTAGAAATCTTTAAAAATATGAATCAATTTTTGCTGAATTAAAAATTTATTTGTATACCTTCTGTTGCGATTCATTTTTACAGGTTGTCATAAAAACGACAAAAAAACTACTATGATTATGGTTTAAAAGAATTATCTAACAAGAGTTTATAATAATTATTGACTATCTCTGCAAATGGTTTATACAATGCCATCCTTTTTCCTTTCACACATGCACAAGGTTTAAAAGGTAGGTAAAAATATTAATAATTCAGGTTTAAAAGCTAGGTTCACAATGAATTAGGATTGTAATTTTCAGGGCAAACACAATTGTCGCTGTCATGTCTTTCGTGATTTTTTGATTATAATTTTTTTTTATCCACTTTGCTCAGGATAGGGATTGGCACAGGTGCAATTTGGTAAAGTACAATGTTGTTACATGCCTTTGGAGCATATTTCATTTCGTTATCAGATGACGGTCGAAATTTGCAGTGGGCTCGCTTACTATATTCTTTATTTATTGATAGTTATAGGTGGTTAATCTGTGGTTATAGATAATATATATTTGAAATTAGGAAAAATGGTTATGACGTAACGGTGTTCTTCTTGTTGTAATCGGATTCTATTTGGATCTTTCCAAGGCCTCTTGATATCATCATCTTGGCACAAGATCTTGGCCTTTATTGATCACAAAAACGTTAATATACAAAATTTCCCTCAATGTAGAGACGCAACTAATCAAAGCCTTACTTAATGAGATGCAAGTCCTACGAGATTTATGGGAAACCATTTTAAATGAAGCAAAAGTAAATGCCGACGCCCTCGAGGCAGTTGGTCGTTCATCAGAGTTTGTTATGAAAAGGAGATGCAGATGAAAAGACGCCTGAACAATTTCGGCTAGAAGTATCAAATGAATTCAAATCTTCTCTGTTGTCCCTCCCGTTTTGGATTTGGTCAAGGGGCGTTTATTAATATTACAATCTGATCAAAAGTCGATCAATGAGTATTTTTCTAACGTTGCAATCTTAAAAACTAAAGTTTTTCTCGCTAGTATGCCTTAGGGTCCGATAACTTAATTACACTAAATTAACGTGTAACACTACGCCGAACAATGCTTTACTTCAAAAGGTTTCACTCTCTTGAGTATCCTTGTCAGGTTCGTGTTGTCAAGAAGCTGGATCGCCTCAACGTTCACAGGTTGGTGGAGCTGTTATTGGTAACTCCTAGTGAATCTGGTGATAGTCTGGTCAACAGTGTCCATCTGAAGGTCTTGGTGAAGGTCGATGTTTCTAATGTACCAAGAAGCATCGACAATGTTCCTCAATACTTTGTTCTGGAATCTCTGAATTATTAGAATATTACTGGTGACGGCACAACCCCAGAGCTGAATAATTTGGTTATATGTAAATAGGCTGGAATGCCTACCAAGTAACCAGTATATTTTCTTGAATTTTATATCTAACCCTTGTCTTTTCGTTTTAACAAGGACCTTCCAGCGAAGTCTTCCATCGAATGTAATACCTAGAAATTTTGTTAAATTAGCATTAGGAATCTAGGCATTATTTATGTTAATTGATATTCTTTGACCAATTGTTAGTAAAATTTGGTTTCTTTAAGTTTATTACGCCATCTTTTGGTCCAGTTATTTATTTGATTTACTGATGTTTGTAGTTTATTTGCAGCCTCTTCACGATCTTTCCCTATCGCTGGGATAGCAGTAACATCTGCAACTGTAGCTATGTTTTCTTATTCTAGATGGAGTATGTCACAAGTGTATAATAGATACAAAGTAGGTCCGAGGACGCTTCTCTGTGGTACTCCTGCTAATTTATTCCAATTCAGAGTATGCTTTATCTTGTTTTATCTATCTGAAACGTAAAAATGCAGTAACTCTGAGTATTGCTGTAGAAGTAGCACATTCAGTTTATGTTTTAAGCCATCATGCCATACTTTATCAAAAGCCTGCGCAACATCGAAGAATCTAGCTAAATACACTTCTTTGTTTTCTAATACATTTTCAATCGCATTTGAGATTCTATGAACCTGAACTATAGTTGAATGGTTTTCTATAATGCCAAACTGATAATCTGAAATTAGTTTCCTTCCTTCAATGATGGGTTTCAGATTTTTCATTAGTATTTTTTAAATAGTTTCGATAATATCTGCAATAGAGATATTGGCCTATAAGACCAAACTTCGTTTGGAAGTTTTCCTAGTTTGGGGATCATAATGACTTCAGCTACTTTCCACCATCTAGAGACATTCCTTAGTTTAAATGAGACAGGTGGGTAAGTTGAATTATAGCTTCCTTTAGAGGTAACTTTTTCTGTAATTAAATCAAAGCCTTTCTTATGATCAATACTTGTTCTTATATCTTTTGCATTTGCAATTTCCTTTGGAGATGTTGGTTTGATGATTGAGTAGTCATCTCTCTCTGGAAGATCCCAGTTGGAAGGTATTTTGTAAGTGCTATATGAATCTATTAACATTTGTATTTTATATCTAGCCCAGTTGTCAACTATATTCCTCATTGGAGCCTTATGCACAGTGGGCCTTTTCAATCGCTTTGTAGCTTTCCATAAAGAATAGTTAGTCAACTCACTAAAGTACTCACTAATAGATTTATTTTTGATTTGTTTTATCCGTCTTTTTAACTGCTGAGTGGCGTTGTTAAGGTCGGTTTTATCTTATAAAGCTCTAGTCTGATGACATTTCCTCCTTAGTTTTCTTTTTGCACATATTAGGTCCCTTATTTCTTTATGATAGTTACTTCCTGTCATTCGCTGAGCATTAGGTGGGGTATTATCCCATTCTGCTTGATGGACACAAGTAATTCTACTTCTTCATCTAGCTGCGCTGTTGTTCTTAACAGATTTGAAAACAACATTTGCGAGATGTGAATAAATTTGTGATATGTTTTCACCAGTTCTGTCTTTCATGGACCTCGAAAAGTTAAAACCACCAATCTTGTCACAAAGTATTCTTCAGGCTTAGCAGATTCCGCCAGCTTAGTTAAAGAAATTCTACATACAAACAGAATCTACAATACAATCAGAAAAGGACTCGATGAAGCTTCTCAACTCCATATAAGAAGAACCTTTAAGCAGTTTGTTTAACCTCTGTACTGCAATTAAACTTTCTTCTATGATTCTAGTAACATGGCTGAAAGGTCTTTTAAGCAGATTGGCGAACTCTTTAAAAACTTGACAAAGGAACAAAACAGGTCAAAGTTGTCTTAACCATTTAATAATTTCAGCAATTCAGAATGAATTGTCAAAACAATTTGGACTTCTCCGACGTAATTGATCAAAAGCTTGGAAGACTACTATTCAGTAGTCTTAATTTGTAGCTAGTATCTATGATTTTAGTTTTTTTGTAACTATTTTTATTTTATTCTTTAGTGTGTTAAATATACTTGTGGTAATTTTTAAGTAAAATAATTTTATAATTAAAGTTTAATAAAAAAGTTACAATAATTATTATACCCTGTATTTTCAGGTTGAATTACATTCTAAAAAGAGTATGGGTAAGAAATTAGACTGTATTTATAACTGTGACATTTGGGAGACATATGGTAACTCCAAAAAACGGTTTTTTTTGTTAACTCTACTAATATAAATATTTTTTATGAATTTTCATTTGATCTAACTATGTTAAGTCCAGCACTGCTAGTAAATTTGTTTAATAAACAATCCACTTTATTAGATTTTTTTTGATATATTCTTGTAAGAATATTATATCATGTATAACAATAATTTTGGAGTCATCCAAAAGCTAAAGATAATATATAACGCGACTGTAAAATAGGGGAGGGGCTCGTCTCTGAGACTAGATCCAGAGCCTGTAACAAAATGTGGAGGCCATGCACAAATAATAAGTATTTTGTATTATTTCCAGTAACACTTGCTTTGGCAGTCACTGCCCTTCCACCCAGACGAGTTCGTCGTCAATTTGACTGGGGTCAATTTGAAGGTCCCAGCGATTGGGATAACAACGCTAACACCATCCGTATTCCAAGACAAAGAGCTCCAGAATCTTGGGGAAGTCGCACTCCTAATAATTGGAACCAGGCCAGTGGAAGACAATTGCCCCAAAATTTTGGTGGTAGGTTAACAAATTTTTAAACTATTAAACTATATTTTTAGCATTTTAAACTTTTCTACTATTCTTGCAGGTAACACTGGTTTTGACAACACTGGTTTCGGCAACACTGGTTTGGACAACACTGGTTTGGTCAACACTGGTTTTGACAACACTGGCTTTGACCTCAATGGCTTTGGTAACGGAGCTAATAATGGTGTTGGTAATGGAGTAAGCACCACAACTGACCCAAGTTCAACCACTAGTGCTACGGCTACTTACAGGAATTGCATGAACAGGTGTCAGTTCACTAGAGAGTACAATCCTGTTTGCGGAACGGACGCGAACACATATTCTAACGAACAAGAACTCAATTGTGCCGCTAGGTGTGGAAGAGGTAAGTCATCATAAGAATATTTACAAGTTCGTCATTCTCGTGGGTAAATGATCCACAATTCTGTCTTACTAAGACAGAAGGTCGTATCTACAAAATGGATATTTTAAAAAACGTATAATTTCGTCATTTTAGACTTATTAAATATTAATCTAAATTTTGTTAGATAATATCTCTCGTCTTAGCTGGGCAGAATTGGTACGGTTCAATTTTAAATTCGGCATGTCCTGAATCTAGGATGGCATTAGTACTTGAAAGGGAATTTTAGTAGGCATAACGGATAACTTTTGGAGGAATTTTACTCTTAATAAGTGACGGAGGTCCAGATCCCTTCGAACTTATAAGTAGTCCACAAAAAGTGTTTCTAAAGTAGGCCATGATCATCCATGTCCGTGATAACTACGCACGGCTTTGAATTAAATCCAAACTACACTTAAATGAACATGCGTGAATTTTTCCAATATTATAGCCAATTATTTTCAGTATTGCCACCCGTAGTGGATTTTCAGCACTTGTATCGAATTATATTTGGTAAAACCTCTTTTTGGAGTAGCGAAATGTGTGTCAAGCAATTTGTGATCATATTCATTATTTATTAAAGGATTTTTTATAAAGTAGCTTTAAATATATTGAGGTTTTTATAGTTAATCAGTCAATTTTTTTGGCAACACTGATAGTTGTGTAGTCATTCATAATTTATTCCTGTTTTAAAAGTTTTTTTTCTACACCCGTATTATAATAATGCACTTATATGCCCATAATCCGTTTCATAATGATACCCATTATAATACAGATTTTTAATCAATAGAAACCTACAATTTTTCAATCAAGCATGATGTTTGACGTTTGTCCTAAATTCCTATGTAATTGTTTTAGTTGTCAAAACGTATTAAATTTTCGTAGATAGCTAAACTTCGATAATTATAATATTAAAATGTCTGATATCAGCGATATAGAACACTCCTCCACACATATAGGAGAAAGGAGAAAATGCAGTACAAAATATTTTGCCCCAAAAATCTGTGGTAATACCAGTACCCAAGGTAATACCATTAATTACAATTTTGTAGAATTTTTTATAGAAATACGAGTAATTACTGTTATTGTGTTCAATACCAATATAAATAGAATATTTATAGGTCTTGATTATTTATCGGGTGTAGAAAAAATAGCGTATGCAACTCTCATGTAATGGTTATTAAAACACTCGCATAAACCATACGAAACTCGCCTTTGGCTCGTTTCGTATCCCGGTTAATTCTCGTGTATTAATAACCATCATTACATGATCGTTGCATAATAATCTATTTTTACATTACATTTGTTTATTTCTCCTTGAAACGAAATTAGTGTTATTCTATGTTCTATATTAATGATGACACAATTGCAGTGAGAATTAGGCATTCCAACGACCTGTCAAAGTGCTGACAAGTGGGAACTGATAATTTAGATATGACAACACTGTGGGCCTGTCCTGTTGTCATTAACAGGGTCAATGATACATATATAGTTATATAGATTGCTCAAAGTGGGTCGTTTGCTAGTGGCCATATTGCCCCGCAAGTGCTTATTAATCGGAATCAATTTAGCAAAAATGTGTTTACAAACCGATTTTCAGCCTTTGAATATAGTAAAAAAAATTATTGCCTACATTATTACGTAACATATTACTGTAAATACTTAATACTGTTACTTTAAAAATATAATTTTGAAACAAAATATATTTTATTTTCATTGTCCAATGTTGACTTTACCCTATTACAAATAACTTTCCCCCATTTAAATTATTAGCAATATTTGTCCTATCTCTACTTAAATGTCCACACCAGCACTCTACTGTCCAGAGTGAACAACACGTTTTCCATTTAAAAAGCATTGGTGTCCAAGATCCTATGCAATTACACTTATTACAGTACATGATAGTAATTGGGAGGTACTTGCTAATTGCGCGAAGGGTGGGGGGTGGGTACTTAGGATAATTACTAATTACCCAATTACCTCTCTCTGTACCTCTGACCTTGGTCCAGAACTGGCTAATCTCATCTACTAAAGGTATCGACGACAAGATTCTCATCACGTCCGATAGCCAAGCAGCGCCATCAATGCACTGAGCTTTTAGAGCTCTTACGTAATCAGCTCAAAAATGGTCGAGAGATGCCTAGAAAAACTGAATAAGCTCGGCGAAGAAAATATAGTTCTTCTCACTTGGATGTCCCGTGACATAACAGGGTAAAGGGTAACGAGATTGCAGATAGTCTAGCAAGGCAATATCAGCAGTGACACAATATTAGTAGAGATTCAAAAAAAAAAAAACTGGGCAGTAGAATAACCGATAATTGGAACAATATCTTGGGGTTAAGACAGTTTAAGGTACTTCTGGATGAATATAACCAGAAAAGATCTAAAGCCTGTATCAGCCTGAACAATAACAGGCTACGCATTGGATAGAATCTGCAGGCTAATATTTCCCATTCCTTATGAATCCCCAAAAACTAATAATAAATATAAAAATGTACAAGCCCGCCACAAGGCTATAATGACAAGTGACAAAATTAGGAAAATTAAGACAAAACACCAAATCGACCATTTTTCATAAAGTTGATTAATTTTTTCAATAGTTTTTCTATGATCACTATACAAAATAGGCCTTTGCACGTTCAAATCTAACTGAAAATTTGACGTTTTCCACGATTTGTCATAATTTGACGTTATTGGCGATCTAGCGCGCCAAAGTTACTTTGGCCCTTACTTATTTTTATTTTCAGTAAATAAAAATATATAATCATTATTAAAGCTAATCGGTATTTTAAAACAAAATGTAGACATCTGAATATTTTAGTTGAACATCTAATATTTAAACGATAATTGGAATATTAAAAATAGATTACGCTAGCAGTGCCTGTTAAATAAATATTGTAGTAAAATTTGAATTTGGTAATATAGTGTGATTGTAAAAGAAAAGTCTTGTATGTAATTTGAGCGGAAAGCTATTTTCCGCTTATGATAAAATTTTTATCTCAGGCGATAAATTACTACTTTCCGCTCTTAATACACAGACAGCAATTTGTTTACCTTCTCTTTAATTATTTGTATTTACATAAATTGTTGAATATCTAATATACAAATACCCCAAACATTTTTTTTTTTATAAATTCAAGGTCAACAACGTTTTGTGGTATTGTAAGACAACGGAAACTTCTAAAGATTAAATAATTTTATCACCTTGTTACCTAATAGCTTTTTTATCACCGTTATTTCTAAATATGTACGGCCACAAAGAAATCCTTTTAAGTCGATAAGAAATACCATATCTTCCGTTATTTTTTTTTTATTTAAACATATAATAATTATCAACATTTAAATGTTATTCTAAAACAGCAACAAATAATGAGAAATTTAAAAATTTGTTTAATAATTAAAGAATTTGGTGTGTAGGTACTGTACGTCAACTAATTTAAATATGGGCCCGAGTACTGTTCCTTGAGGCACACCATAATCAACCAATTTTGTGTCACTAGTAACATCGTCCACTCTTACAGCTTGGTACCTTTCCGATAAATAGCTTTCAAATAGTTTTAAATATTTGTCTCTGATACCTATATCTTACAGAGACTGCAACAGTAGACGATGGCTAACAGTATCAAAAGCCTTAGACAAATCGATGAACATACATAAACAAGAAATCTAATTATTTTTAAAGATAAAGCTAAAATAGCATCCTGAATTGACATATTTTCTTTGAACCCATACTGTCTCTCTGAAATAATATTATATTTATCCAAATAGGAAACTAAACTGACCGAAGTTTAATAATTTTTTCAAATATTTTTGAAATATGACTTATCAGTGATATTGGTCGATAATTATTTACGCCTGTAGAATCTCCTTTCTCAAGCAATGGAATAATAATTGATTTTTTAAAACAAGATGGAAATATTCCTTGATTCATGGATATATTAAAAATATGTTTCAGCGGTTGAGAAATAAAGTTTGATATTAACTTAATCGTTTCTGATTTTATATTATCGATACCGACGGCCTTCTTATTCTTCAATTCCCTAATTGCTTTTTGTGTTTCATGTTCCTCTATAGCAGTGCTCCGCAACCTTTCCTCATCTGAGGCACACCAAACTGCTCCCTAGAATTTCGTGGCACACCAAAATCTAAAATATATTTATAGCAGTGGCGTAGCTAGGTCGGGGGTCAGTTCACTCCATGTATACTAATTATTTATGGATGTCCAAACTACCTTAGTTTTTTTTATTGTTTTAAAATGTGAAGAAGCCCCTTTCAGATTTGGGGCATCAAAATTTTCACTCAGGACATAATACATATTTTTTTTTTATTTTTTTTTATTATTCAGATAGAATGAAAAATACAAATAGGTACATACATGAGAACTATACTAAATACTAGGTAGGACAGGTAGGTATACTAAATTTACTTCTGTTGACACGTCAATAGTAATAAATATTTTGACATGATGATGACTGATTAATGTGATACCTGCGCTTGCTTCGTTGAACACAAAAGTTTTATATTCGGCTCAATTTTAGACAGCGCAACTCTCATTTCTTGGTCAAGATCTTTTAAGCATGACCGTTTATCATTTTTAATTAATACAAGCGTTGAAAAACTTTGCTCACATAAATATGTTGTGGAAAACGGAAGTAGTGTGAAGATGGCCTTGTCGGTGATGCGTGGATATTCTGTCTTGATGGAAATCCAGAAAACATCTAACGGAACTTCGTCGAATTTAAGTTTTAGGGTCATATCATTACTTAATTCTGTGAACTCCTCTCGAGTTTGCAATGGCAGTGCTTCCGTGGAACTTATTGCATTGGTTGCGAAAGGATTTCGAATCCAATTGTATTGTTCCGTGTTGATAGAATGGAAATAGTATTCAAATTTTTGTTGAAGCATACTTAAATGTTGTTGGGCCAAATCCACAATCAACTGCTTGTTTTCGATCGTACTGTGGTTGGTCCTGTGATACATTTCTA